TTGGTGGACAGAGATTCATTGAATAAAAGAGTTTTCTTTAATTGGAGCAACAAAGATTGCTGATCGCTCTGGCATCTGCCCGAAACCAGACCTGTGTTGACGCTGGAGGGCACCGTTAGAAGGGGCATGAAGAAAAACAAAGTAAGGAGAGGAATTTTCATTGTCAAGTGGATTGTTTGCATGGATGAAGTTGCTGTCTTTTGCGTGGTACCGTACTCTAACACTGTTTGTTTGTTTTGGAATGTTTTCATTTGAAAATATATTAAAATAATTTAAAAATAAAAAAAATATTAATTTAAAATAAATATATAAAAATTTAAATTTTTTAAAATATTTTAAAATGCAAAAACTTTCAGATAAATGAATCATTTTGGCTGTGATTTTCCCTTGACTTGAAGACTTTTCAATGCATACTTTTTTGGACCGAGAAAAATTGAGGCCGGTATGGTTTCAATTCTGGCAGTTTACAGGAATGCGGTGTTTTTTAAAAATTTAAAATTATTATTTTAATATTTGAAGATTATATTTATATATATATATATATATTAAAAATAATTTTTTTAAAAATAAAAAAAATATATTATTTTAAATACATTTCTCAAAAAAATACTTTTAATTGCAATCCCTACCAACACCTCTTTCAATTGGTTGGTATGGATTAAGTAATTAAAAAAATTATTTTTTATATATAAATTTTAAAATGAATTGAACTAAATTCATGGTTTTACCTTTGTTATAATCAAATAAATCAAATTTAAATTGATAAAATCTTAGTTGAGCAATTTTTTTTATAGATTTTGATTTAATGTGTTTATAATAAACTTTTAATTTATAATGAGTTTTTTAAAATACTATAAAAAAATAATTTTAAAATTAACACATTATCTTATCACTTCATTTTAAAATGATGTCAAAATCAAATTCCAAATCATTTCATCAAGCCTCTTGCAAGTTTAACATCAACGATAATAATGGTGGAGGGTCCTTTTTGCTTTGACTATTGGAGCCTAGAGAGTCAATGGCAGGATCCTATTTCTATTCTTTTTACCATGTATTAGGGTGGTATACATCTAGGTACTATCAATAATATTTTTATATATAATATAAATTCATATGGTAAAATTGAATTGTAATAAAATTTAACTAATTATATAAATAATTTTCAGAGATAAAAATAAAACAAACAATATAAAATCTTGAGGTATGTATATATAATTCAAATAAAAACCTATACATAATTGTTTCTAAAAGTTCTTTATAATACAGATATGTTTATATAAAACTCATTAACTAACCATATAAGCCTTGTGATGTTAATAAAATTATGTTTGGAAATGTGATAATAGTTGATTTTTAAATTGTTTTTTATTAGAAAATATATTAAAATAATATATTTTTTTATTTTTTAAAATTTATTTTTAAAATTAATATATTAAAATGATCTAAAAACATTAAGAAATATAAATTTAAAAGAAAAAAATAAATAATAATATTTTTTTTCAAAAATATTGTTAAAATATATAAAAAAAATGCTATGAACGAAAAGAAGCTGTGGCAGAAACTAGTTTACCAGCTACATAACATAAATTGCAAATTATTCTAGCAGATAACAGTTGTATTAAAAGGAAAAACAAAATAGAAAGAATATGATGCAGAAAAGAATGATATTTCAAATCAAACATTGTGGCCTAGAGCAGCAGTCTGTTCTATTTTAATGTCAAAACCAGTCGCCACAAGGGCGGACGCATGCATGGCCCCGCGTGGGTTTTGATCTCTTATCAATATTTTTTAATTGATTACATATAAAAAAAATTGTAATTTTTAATTAAGGTATCAAAATATTCTGAAAATTTATATGAAACCTTTTAATATAACGTTTTAACTTGAGTTAAAATTTTAAAAAAAAATAAAAAAAATTCAAAAATTTAGTAAAAAATTACAATTTAATTAGTTTTATGATATTGGATAAAATTTTCAATTTAACCATCAAATTGAGTTAAAATTTTATGAAAGGTCTTAAAATATATTAAATACAATCTTGTTAAAATTTTAGAATGAACAGAGATTGATGAAGCTAACAAAAAAAAACATCAAATAAAAGCAAAATGACTCATTAAGGATAAAATGGTTATTTGCTATTAAAAAATAAAACAAATCAGTTCTTTCTTCCTTTTATATTTTATTGACTAGACAAAAACAGAATAGAAAAATAAATAAAAGAAATGACGAAAGAGATAGAAAGAAAAGTAAGGAGAAAACATAAAAAAAATATTCAAAGAAAAAATAAAAAAAATAAAAAAATAATATTGTAAACTTACAAAGTTTAACTTCTAAAATACTAAGAAAGATTCAACTGAAGGAAGAAGGAATTGAGAGATGAAAAAAATTTAATTACTTTATTTTTCAGTTAACATGAGATTGTTATGTTATTTTATTCTGGTTGAGGAATTGTTAAAATATCGATTCAGATTTGATTATAAATAAATTATATTATATAAAACATGAAAAATATAATTTTAATAGTGAGTTTATATTTATTTTTATTTTAATTTTATATATTTTTAAATTTATTTTTTAATATTTTAGATAGTATATTTGAATTAAAATTGTATTATTAAATGTATATAAATTAATAATTGAACTTAAAAAATTTATATATTTATTTATTAGGGAAAAATTCCTTTTTACAGAACTTCATCTCTCTGTCCCGGAATTACATCCCGGATGAGGACGTCCGGTTTATCCTTTGTGCGCCTAATTTTGGAGCCTCTTCCAGCTACCAGCGGGTTGGCCCTAGTAGCAGGCGGAGCAGCAGCAATGGCAGCCCAGGGGTCATCGTCATCAAGTGCTGTAGCTGATTTGAAATTCAAAGTTCCTGCCGTGGTTTTTGGTTGCAAACTTCCAGCTAAGGAAGTAGAGGTAAAATTAATATTAACGAGACTTGCTGAATGTCTCATCAAGAGAACAGATGACAAGGATATTCATCTAACACTGGAGCAGGTGATATATAATAGACAAAAAGACATACCTCAACGAGGTTTTTTTTTTAATTTGGAAGAAAAATAAGTTAACAAGAGGAGTATTCATAATTCTATTAAACTCTGAAAATTGTGAGTTTATTGATATTTTTGCACCAATCAAGTCTAATTTTATTTTTTTCAAGCTTTTGATTTGATTTTATAAGTTAAATATTCCTAAAATTATATAGTTTTAAAGTCAGCCCGGAATTTTAACGATATTAACCTTTGTAAATAACATTTAACCGCGTTGACCTGGTATTATTGATTAGGGAGTCAACGGGAGAAAATTATCGGCCTTTCTTATTCTACCGTGTATTGTATTGTAATAAAGACGTGGACATCACATAATGTCATAATCAAAGCCATTATTCGAATCAATGCAAGTTCCTACCCCTCAGAGGCCTAGCTTTTGCACTTTCCCTCTTAGATTTATTTTTTAGGATTTTATTTAATTAACTAGAGCTGGGCCTCTTGGTCTTTTGAATTTGAAACTATTTTGGGTCTTGAATATGAAACCACGTCGAGCCATCTCGGCCCGCACTAGGGCTTGGCAATAACTATATATATGAAACCATACCCAATCCCGCAATCAGTCTTCCTTCTCCTTCTCATTCTCGTTGGGGCCTTCAAAAAGCTTAACAGCCCACCCCACCGCCATCACCATGAGGGCCAAGGTAACCTCAAAATCTCTGCAACCTAATCTAAAACATTGTGCACTTGATTGCTTTTAATTGGTATCGTTGAGTTTTGGGTTTTTGGTTTATGAGTGGAAGAAGAAGCGTATGAGGAGATTGACCTTTTTCAGTGGAAGAAGAAGCGTATGAGGAGATTGAAGAGGAAGCGTAGAAAGATGAGGCAGAGATCTAAGTAGATTTTCTCATTTCCGATTACTTTCTTCTTCTTTTCTTTTAGTGTGTTTTAAATCAAAAGGTGGATTATGTAGTTTCCCCCTGTGTTTTGATTAATCAGATGATGGGTTTATCTATGGATATATTTATTTGTTTTCTTTGAATGTTGATGAGTTTGGCTTCTTTCCTTGATAATTTCCTTTGGGATTTTATCTGTTTAAATGGAATTGGAGTTAGATTGATAAGATTATCTGCTTGTGATTATCATTATTTTCTTTCCATTTTTTTTTTTGTTGGGTTTTGTTTGTGGGTTAGATAGTAGTGAAACCACATTGTTTCGATATGGTGATGACATCTCGGTTTGGGTCATTTGGTTCGACAATACAATCCTGGTTTGATATTGCGTTTTATTGTGATTTGTGCTGAGAGATTATGAAATCTTGGTGTGATTATTTGGATACCAAGTTCATAGGTAATCGTGTGTCTCTCATTTTGTTATCTCCGGGTATCAAGTTGATAAGTAATCGTGTGTCTCTCATTTTGTTATCTCGTTATGCTCAAGTTGATTTTTGGCGATGCAAATCATGGAAGTTTTGAGGTAATTGGTGGGGTGTTGTAGTTTTGTGGATGATTAGGTAATGGGATTTTGTGTGTTATTGTTGTCGTGCGCAAGCTGATTTGCTGCGATGCAAATGGATGGGTTGTGGAAGTTTTGGTGTGATTATTGGGTTATTATTGATCTGGAGTTGGTAAGTAACGGGATGCTTCGCACTTTTTCGCACTATTTAGTCAGGTGCAGGCTGATCTTCAGCTTTGTAAATGGTTAGCGGCTAGCATTGCTTGATTTTACTCTTGTTACTTGCATTATGTATGATTATAAGCAGTTAGCATTTGTTGCATCGAACTGTAGGCTGTAGATTTTTTAATGTGATAGTGCTTATGTAACTGAAAAACTGTATTGCTGTGCTTAGATTCAGTATTTTTCCTGCCAAAGAGGACTATGTATGCTTCGTTGCTGATTGTAGAACAGAAGCAACAGATATGCATCAGATTAACCAAGTCCTCGTTAGTGTTAATGAGGATGTCTAGGAGTACGGCATATGAAGTGATTGCAGGACTGCAAACAGTTCTGCATGGCTCATAGCTAATGAGGCTTCGAATTGCAGACCCAGATGTTTCATCAATAACAACCATTTTCTGAATTTTATATCCAAGATTCTACCTGACCCCCTCCTCCTGGATTTGATGCTGGCATCTACAAGATGTGTGGCAGAAGGAGTAACAAGCTGCCCTTGGTAAAAAACTTTCTTCTTCCATTTCTTCAGCGCAGTCAATTAACCAGGTTCTTTAAGAGGTCTAGCAAGTGCTTTTTTCCTCGGCTAGGTAGATCTTCTGGGAGTGGATGGTACGAAGATATGTGGGGTTAGAGATGAAGGGTACAAGGTTGATTATAAAAATTATATAAAAATGGTCGGCTAGCCATTTCCTTTCAATATAAAAATTATATATTTTTTTTTCATACGAGAATATGTTTATAAACATGGTCCCCTGAACTATTGATTGAAATGTAATTAATCCTTGAATAAATTATTGAACGCAATTAGTTCTTAAACAAATCAATTCTGATCCATTCTCTCTTCTTAAACATGTCTCTCGTGTGTTTTTAACCGGTTAAGGATCGAATGAAGACCTGATTTTAATTAATAAAAAGGTTGCTTAAATCTTCACTTTTTTTAATGACTAATTTACACTACATAATTTATGCATCGATTATATACATTTTAACCAATAATTCATGGATTGTTAAACACTCTTTATCATGTTGCTATCAAGAGAACTTTTCCATAGGCAATGTGCTAATAACTTTATTGGACTTTTACATAAATTAATTATTTTCATTTATTTATTTATTTTACTTTCCTCTCACTTTTCCTTCCAAACGTGCACGTTGTAATATTTCATGAAAATACTTCAAGATATTAAAAAAAATAACATTTAAAAATATTAAAAACACAGCCTCTTATTAAACCCGATCACTTTTGACAAGTACATCTAAGATTTGACCTAAATGAACTAAGTTTATCTTTTAATCATGTTAAAAGTTGACTCAACGATTTAACTTGGAAAGACCCTTTAAAAAATATTGTCTAAAATAACATTATTTTAGACAAAATAAATAAATAAATAGACCAGAGTGAAACCATCACCTTGGAGGTTGAGATGCTCAACCCGTGACCCAGCCCATATCATGGGCCGGGCTGGGTAAAACCGCTTTTAAAAACCAAATGCAGGCATCTTACCCCTGCTCGGATCGCTCTGACCTTGTTCAGAACTAAGGCAGCTAAAGACCAAATGCTAACATGCTAAAAAGCACTGTAGCTCGTACAGCAACGTTCAAGCTCAATTTTTTTACTTCCTATAAACAACGAGAATACCACTCCGATTTTGATGCTGTAACACAAGAGGAGGTCAAGTCGTTCTAATGGCGATTGATCATCAAAAAATGGATATGGACATCGACAACAAAGGTAATGCAACGTTTCTTCAAACATGTGTTCACTTTCTTCGCAAGGGCTTTGAGTTATGTTCCCCAATTCAAACATTTTTGTGCGTTTTCTTGGCCTAAAAAGGTGAAGAACAGCAGAAAGGAAAGCCAGTGATGGTGATTTTAGTGGGTGCACCAGGAAGTGGCAAGTCATCTTTCTGTGAACACGTAATGGGTTCCTCTTTAAGACCTTGGACTCGCATTTGTCAGGTTTCTTTTCTAATATCACACACTTGTTTGTTAATATGTTTAAATGGGTTTGGTTTGGTTTCAAGTTCGTTAATTCTGGATGTTAAATTGATAATTAGTCAATTTGGGGTTTCGGGTTTTTGTTGAAGGACACTATTAATAATGGTAAAGCTGGAACTAAGCCACAATGTCTAAAGAGAGCAGCGGCTGCGTTGAAAGAAGGAAAAAGTGTGTTTATTGACAGATGCAATTTGGATAAAGAACAACGCTCGGATTTTGTGAAGTTAGATTGTGGCGCACAAGTAGATGTTCATGCTGTTGTGCTTGATCTTCCTGCTCAGCTTTGTATTTCGCGATCTGTGAAAAGGACTGGACATGAGGGAAATTTGCAAGGTGGGAAAGCTGCTGCGGTTGTGAATAGAATGTTGCAGAAGAAAGAGTTGCCCAAGCTTAATGAAGGGTTTGCTCGAATAGTGTTTTGTCATAATGAGAATGATGTTGAGGCTACAATTAAGGCATATACTGCGCTTGGTCCTTTGGATACCCTTTCAAATGGTTGTTTTGGCCAGAAGAATCCAGATGCGAAAATCCAACTTGGTATAATGAAGTTCTTGAAGAAAGTCGAGGCTCCTTCCAGTGTAGGATCATGTTCAGATAGTGTGCAGGATTCTGCCTGTCCTCAGGCTAGTAACGCAAACAATACCTGCTGCAAAGGAACAACAAAAGAGTCTTTATTATTAGGTGCTGCTAGTAAGGAGGTAAAAGAGAGTGAAGACTTGGCCAAAGGCTCTGTTGACGCTGATGTATCTGTGGGTGACATTACCACTCTAGCATTTCCATCTATTTCGACAGCTGATTTCCAGTTCAACAATGAGAAAGCATCAGATATCATTGTTGAGAAAGTTGAAGAATTTGTGAATAAGCTTGAAAATGCCAGGCTTGTTCTTGTGGACCTGAGTCATGGATCAAAGATTCTGTCTTTGGTTAGGGCTAAAGCTGCAAAAAGGAACATTGACTCAAAGAAGTTCTTCACGTTTGTGGGAGATATAACTCGACTTTATTCGCAAGGAGGTTTACGCTGCAATGCGATAGCTAATGCTGCCAATTGGTAAGCTTTGTCATCTAGTTATGCTGTGCTGTTTATGTGGTTCTTGGATGTTGAATGTTTAAGAAATAATAGATTGTAGAGGCTTCAAAAGCTACAATATAAGGTTGAAATAGAGATTCAAATGGGGTGTTGAATAGAGGCTTGAAATGTAAAAGCTGGGAATTGCTGTGAGCCATGTGTTATATTTTGTGGACAACACTCTTATGCATATGTGGAACCTGGCTTTAATAGACACTTCTATCTCCAAACATGTCATCTTATTTTTCGTCCATGGGTATAATGCAATAAAACTTTTTAAGTTTTGGTTCAAAGTTGTTCACCTTCTGAGATGCATGTATGTGACACTTAAGCATCAATCTCCCCACTGATTTATTAACTTTTCATCTAAACATGTTTTTCTCAGATTCCAGATTTTATTTGCTCTGATGACGCTTAGCTGGTTCTTCTCTCTGTGTGTGTGCATGTCTGTGTAACTATTAGTATGATCATGTTATTTATTTGCACATGAATTATATCAACAAGATAATCCCCTGCAGGCGATTGAAACCTGGAGGTGGAGGTGTGAATGCTGCAATTTTCGCTGCAGCAGGTCCTTCCCTAGGGACTGCAACTAAGGAACGAGCAAAATCTCTTCTCCCTGGACATGCTGTGGTTGTTCCTCTCCCTTCAGATTCTCCATTGTATACTAGGGAAGGGGTATCCCATGTCATCCATGTTCTTGGGCCAAACATGAACCCACAAAGACCTAATTCTCTGAATAATGACTATACTAAAGGTTGCAGCATTCTGCGTGAAGCTTACACATCACTTTTTACTGGATTTCTGTCTATTGTGAGATCCCGTTCAAAATTACCAAGGAGAATCAGTGAAAAACGTGAATTGTCACCTTCAGATTTGAAAGATCCCTCTCATGGTCCCAGGAATCATTTAACAAACAGTGATCAAAAGATTAAGAGAGATGATGACTGTGTATATGAGAGAAGCAAAAAATGCAAGGGGACTCACGATGAAACTGTAACTGATATTTCTGCTCCTTGTTCCACATATGGAAAGGTAACTGGAGACAAAAGTAAGTTAGAAGGACCCACATCAAAGAGCTGGGGCTCATGGGCACAAGCTCTTTACCACATCGCCATGCATCCTGAGAAGCACAAGGACAAGTTGCTGGAGGTTTTAGATGATGTTGTTGTACTAAATGACCTTTATCCAAAGGTAAGCCTTTTAATGTTAGCTCCTTTCTCTATTCTTTTAAGGTGAATGATTATTTAGTTAAATTGCCATTAATTTTCACAGGCATGCAAGCATCTCCTAGTTTTGGCAGGACATGAAGGTCTTGATTGTCTTGCAGATGTGCATCAAGAACACCTTCAGTTGTTAATGACAATGCATGCTGTGGGTTTGAAATGGGCTGAAAAATTCTTGCATGAAGATTCATCAATGGTCTTCCGCCTTGGATACCACTCGGTATGCAATGAATGCTTAAGCTCAGAAGTTGTTTGTTAACTTTGTTCTTTTTCTGCCGTGGTCTCTGCTTATACAGTCAGACTTTGTTGAGTCAGAGAAGCAACTCTCAGAGCCTGACTGAAATTGTCTCGGAAAAGTTGGTGTAGGGGTTTTCTTACGGTCTGAAAGAATTTTTATATTGAGGGCCATAAGTTGCAGAGTGGCAATAAAACACGGGCCAAATAGGGTGGTTAGCTGATGTTATCTCTATTTACAGGAGCCAGGTACAATAATTTGACATAGGAATAGAGGTTGGAACTGAGGATGTGATTGTGGAAAAAGAGATGATGTTATTCATAAAAAAATGTGACAAAACTACATAATAACAGAGCTGTTTGTGGCAATAATTAAGAGATAAAACATCATTCTGAATCTGGGGCTGTTTTATATCTTTCATATTCTTGCGAAATATTTTCACCTTTTACCTTATTTATGTTTTGTTTTTACTCTAATTCTCATTTTCTAACCAAGCTGCTCCATTACTGCTTTAGTATTGAAACTGTTAACTACGGAGGGGGGTTTTTTTAACATGCTTGAACTGTCTCTCCGTCAAACTGTTAACTACAAAAGGAGGGGGGGTTTTTTAACATGCTTGAACTGTCTCTCCGTGCAGGTCCCTTCAATGAGACAATTACACTTGCATGTGATTAGCCAGGATTTCAATTCCAATCATCTCAAGAACAAGAAGCACTGGAACTCTTTTAATACTGCCTTTTTTCGAGATTCATTGGATGTGATTGAAGAAATCAAGAATCACGGGAAAGCAACAATAAAAGATGAAGATTGCCAGTTGTCAATGGAGTTGCGATGCCACCGATGTAGAAGTGCACACCCTAATATACCCAGGCTAAAATCACATATTAGCATTTGTCAAGCCCCCTTTCCTCGTGCTCTTCTTGAGAATGGCCGTTTAGTGCTTGCACCAAAACATAATTGGAGTAATACATAGGTATCTATGGATCATGCAGCAACAAAAATTTTGGTGTGCTTCAACTTCTCATTTCTGGCGCAAAAGATGACTTACAAGAGGACATGAAACTCTTTTTGCTATAGGGGACCAAATACAGCTTTCTTCTCAGTTTGGGTTTTCCATCATGGAGCTGTACGGTGCCGTAGAAGTTTATGATATGGACGGCAGTCTTTACTCCCTAAAGCAACACAATCAGCTTAAATCCTCATTGTTAATTTTAACTGGGGAATTTGGGAAACTCGGAGGCGGATGCTAACCTTTTCTCCTTTTTTTACCCCTCCTTAATCTATATCTATATTTGGTGTCTGCTGCATTTGCCTTCGCTACCTTTGCTCGTACCAACAAGGTTTTAACGTTTTACTCTTGTGAAATTTTGTCAATTTAGCAGAACATGATACAGCTTCGTTGAGATTGTGGTCAATACACGATCCTTTGTATTCTTGGACGCTTTGCATAGCAGAAGACCCTGAACACAACTCTGCTTGTGGATTAGAATGTCAATTTTAATATCTTCGAAGGAAATGACTTGGAAATTCTAGCACTTGCCAGCAGCAGCAGCAGCAGCTAGCTACCTATAGTTTCACTTTGCCACTTCAAGGTAAGGGAGTTTCAGGGAAGACTGGAGTATTTTCAATGTATCGAATCTTCGGCCTAATTTTTTTGATAATAACCAGAAAGAGTAACCTTTGCTGTATTTCATCTTCTCAACCTGTGTTTTCTAGACCATCTCTTCACCTGCTCGCAAATGATAGTTTTAAGCTCTCCTGTTTCCCAGGTCATGTCAAGAATCTACACTAGGAAACACAAGTAAAAGTAAATATAACCCCTTGCCATAAAATTTTCAAAGCAATTTGCAAGAATATCCCCAGTGGACTATGGTTACAATCTTGCTTGACGAAAAATGAGAGCCTGTATTCTGTGTTGTACTGTAGGGTGGATGATTTAATTATCAAACACTGCCTCCATAAACTTTGGATCTCTAGCGTCAATCATGGCGTTCGAGGTTTTGTCTTTGTTCCTAGGGGACATGATATGATGTGATGGGTTATGATTTATCATTATTTTTTAAATAATTTCTTTGTTAGCCCCAAACCCATTTTTTCTTACAACATGTCGATCTTAGAGGGGATCTGGAAATGAGTTTAGGCCCAGGCTCGTGCCGTGGGCCCATTTCCAGGTCTGTGACCTATCATGGTTTCGAGCAAGGCCTGGGACCAGCCCTGGCCCACTTGGCCTTCGGCTTTTATACATGTAGAACCTTTTTTATATGTATATGTGGCCACTTGGGTCCAGGCCCCGCGCCAAATCCTAACGCCAAGTCACTCGACTTAGCAGTCTAGGCTTAGACGCCCTGTCTAAGTCTAGCAGCTAGACCAATCAGCCTAACACCTCTTGGGTCTGGACGTTGTAGCCTAGGCCTAGCCTTGGGCATTGCTCAGCATGTGTCAAACGCTCTTTGGACCCATGCATTATGAGTTGAGCCTAGTCCCAAGCGTTGTTTGGGTTTAGGCTTGTGGTTTGAGCTCACATCTAATCCCTTGAGATTTTTTTTTTCTAAACTCAGATTTTTTTATTCTAAATCCAAAGTGTCAAGAGACTCTTAACTTTTGGAGTCTCTTGCTTATTGCATATAATATAAGAAATTTCCTCAAAAAATGTGTATTTCGCCTACATCTTTATATATAAGAATTTTTCATGACTTACCCTATTCATATCTTTTTAGTGCATATGTTAAAGGATATTTGTTTTTCTTAATATTTTTTAAAGAAATATTTATTTTTTATTAATACATATGTATTTATTTATCTTATTAATATTTAATATTTTTTAGATGAAATGACCTTTTAATCTTCTCATTTAAGCAGAAGAATAAAATTCATAAATTATAAATATTTTTTAACTATTCACGTAAATTATTTATAATTTTTTTCATTCTTAATATGCATACATAATATTATTTTTTCTTACAAAGCATTCATTACATATTAAAATAAAAACAAACAACCTTATTCTTAAAATTTAATATTCCTGTACATATTTATTACAATCAAAATTACAGTAGGCCTTTGCTTTGATGTTCTAAACTACTTTTGGTTATTGCTATAAAAAAAACAAAGAACATGTTTATTTCTTGAAAAGTAGTTTTTAAAGAAAAACAAAGGTCATATTTGTTTCTTGAAAAGTAATTTTTTAAAAGTCATTTTTCAAACTTTCTTGTGTTTGTTTGGTTATTTTCCAAACTTCCCTGTGTTTATTTGCTATTAGAAAAGGTAGTCAATGAAAAATACTTTTCGGTTAATAAAAGTAGTCAATAAAAAATACTTTTCGGTCAACGGAAAACACTTTCCAGTCAAAAGAAAACGTTTTCCCGTTAATGAAAAATACTTTCCAATCAAAAAAAAAATTTAACTTGGTTTCCAGGAAAGTGTTTTCCCTTCTAGCTGTGTTTGTTTTTTGAAAAATAGTTTTCAAAAAATCACTTTCCAAACTTTCATGTGTTTGTTTGCTATTAGAAAAGTTGGTCAATGGAAAACGCTTTCCAGTCAAAGAAAGATTTAGCTTGATTTTCAGGAAAGCGTTTCCTTGAAAAATTTGGGCGGAAAACATTTACCGGAAGTTGTAAAAAATTTAGAAATATCACAAAAAACACTTACCAGAAGTTGTAAAAAATTTAGAAATGTCATTATTTGCTGATTATATCAAATTTGATCCTCAAATTTTTGATTGCTATATATATTTTGTTTTGAATATTTATTTTTAATTTCATCTCTTAAAATTTAATTTTTATATTAACTTTGGTCTTCATTTTTATAATTACTATTGGGTTTTTTATTTATTTTTTATTAAAAAAATTTATTTATCGGCTTTTTTTTATTATTTTGTTTATTAAATTTTTTTATCTATCAAATTTGGTCCTCATTCTTTTGATTGTTATTTATTTTATTTGAAATACTTTATGAAAAGTTAATTATTATTATTTTAATTTGTTCATTGTTTTTAAGATTTGATCTTTATTGTTTGGATTATTATTTATTTTATTTGAGATAATTTATGAATATTTTATCTGAGATAATTTATGAAATTTTTTTTTTTTTCAATTTCATTTTCATTCAACTTTTTAATTTGTAAGATTTGTTCTTTATTATTTAATAAACTTAAAAAAAATAAAACATTAATAAGTTATTTTCCAGTTTATTTCACATGACATAACCAAATATTGGAAAATATTTTCCAACTTATTTTTCATTACATTATCAAATATCAAAAAATATTTTTCTAAAATTTATTTTTTCTGAAATTTACTTTTAAAAACAAATTATTTTTCAGCAAATAAAGAAGATCAAAGTAAAAGAATGCATTCCAACAACTAGATATCAAAATGCTTCTGCACTATGCTTTGTGGTAGGTATGTTACTGCACACAATCTAAACAAGGGGCTGTCTGGTAAAAATTCCACCTTAATTCGTGCCCAAGATTTTGATCATATATGTCACTTAAACAAGATTATTAGCTTTCTAATCCCATATTAAGATTAAATGGTCTTTGAGGCGAAGTACTTTGGCCCCATTCTGCGTGGATCTTACTGCCCGTGCAAGTGAAGGACGCATTGATCCGGTTATTGGGCGACACTCTGAAATTGAAAGCATTGTTCACATGCTTTGCCGGAGCACAGAAAATAACCCCATCCTTCTTGGTGAAAGTGGAGTTGGAAAGACAGCCATTGCCAAAGGATTAGCTATAATTTTTTTTTTTCATGTTTACTGTATTTTCTCTATAAAAATATTGATTTAGGATGTGTTTGGGAACACAATTCAAACCTGTTATTAAAAATTAAAAAATTTATTTTTATATTTAAAATTATTTTATATATATATATATATATATATATATATATATGAAAATCCTCATAACCATTAAAAAAAACTGTTTTGCAAGTACAACGCTTTCTTTATGAACTACACATGTTGAGTTTTGGAAGATCATCGCCACACATGGAAAAAAACACGACAGGCATTTTCTTCTATCCTTTTTCCGGCCAGATGGTGTCCCCTGCCAGCTTTCATCTGTGCAGAGTAAATCCCAAGTTTTTTATCGAAGAAAAAACAAATGAATCCATACTCCGAGTATCCGAACTTTAAATCGTACTAGCAATCTGAAGTTGGGATGGTAACAACCAAGGACCACGCTAGAACAGGCTTTCAACCATCACTTTCAAAGTAGTTTTCTACTGCCCCCCAGGTGGACCAGATTTCCACCGTCACCGGTCAAATTGTCGGAGGATATTTTGCATTCCTCGGATTGAATGGCACTCTCAACTCAGAATTCAGATGCAATTACCCCGTGACTGCTCTCTCTTTCACAAGTCTTCCCCGAGCAATCAATTGGCACAGCCAGTTGCAAGCGGAGGAAATTGGTGAGACCCACAGCTTAGACAATGGACATCATCATCAGGATTGGAATTATGAACCTTTCTTAGGTCCCTTCCACGCCTTGCACTAGATTTTTGCAGCACTTGCAGCCAAGGGTGGAACTATAAAATTTTAACTAGGGTTTCGTCATAAAAACTATAAAATTAGTAGAAAGCAAGGATTTTATTTTCGGAGAGGCTAAATGCATAACTGCCATAAAAAAATTGAAAAAATAAAGATTAAAATTAAAAAAATTTAAGACTTTCGAGGGTGCAAAGCTTGCCCTATGTCCGCTCCTGCTAGAGAATGCATGTCTAATTTTTAAAAGGTATACTTAAAATCATGAGGCTATAAATTTATTCAGTTTATTAATTTAAATTTTATAAACCTATTATTAGAAATTTATGTGATTATTAACTTTAACACCTATAAAATTATTTATATTTATATAACTATTGACTTAAAATTTATAAAATTAATTATAAGGTATTATAAAATTAATTATAAGGTAATGGGACACACATATTAATTAAAAACCAAAAAAACGAAAAGCATGTATGTATTAAATATTCACTTGTACAGTTGATATAATTTTGACCAAGTTTACTAACAAAATTGCAAAAGGACCACTCGTCATCTTTAACTATTTAATATGAAAGAAACTTCGATCTTGACTGGCCAAAAGGCCTGTCAAGGATATTTTACATGGGATATACTCTCAGAAGCCCCATTCAAGTTTCAATCCATCTTAAAAGAAGAGTCCTTTTCGAATAGCTCCACCTCTGCTGCGCTGATTGCTCCATAAAACTTCTCTAGTGAGACCCACCACCGGTGACACTCAAGGGATTGGTCTTTGGACCTAACAAGTAAACACCATCACCTGCATTAGGGAGGATTTTTGCAGCTGTAGCGGACACTGTATATGGCCACACTCAGAAGTTTCTGAAAGGTAAGTGCGGGACATGTTCAGTCATGTTATTTCATGCCTATTGTTCTCTCTTTAAGGTGTCAAGGCAGTCACAGAGAGACGAGAAAGATGACAACGAAATCAAACTCATCAACGAGATAAAATTAAAGGGAAATGAGCTTTGGATACAAGGAAATCGTAGTGCAGATTAAGATCACACAAACTCCAGTACTAGGAAACAATAAACCAAAAACCCGACTGCTTGTAACTAAGACGCATAGCATCTTCACATATTTGCCATTGTGGCAAAAGTCTACTGAGGGTTTGGAGGACGGCTATTGGCAGCAGAGACCCTAGAACCCCATTCCAAAAGTTCTTTACTAGTATCATCCTTGTGAGCAATAACCTCAATGAAGCACAAGCTATCCTTCTTTGATCCTGTTGCAGTCTCAATTGCTTCAACCAGATCTTCCTCACAGAATACCTGAAAGGGAAAATTCAGCAAACGGTGTCGGATGCTTGTTTTTTACTACTGAAACATATATGCATTGAAAGCAAATGAACTTAGTACACAAGCTCACCTTGGCTGTCCAGCACTTGCCTTCACCATTGTGGATGGCATCAACCAAGCCAGTGTAGTTCCAGTTCTTAATCACATTGTAAGGACCATCATGGATCTCGACTTCAATGGTGTATCCACCATTGTTTATGAGGAAGATGATGTTCTTCTGTCCACATCGCAGCATGGTTGACACGTCTTGAACAGTCACCTATAGGAAATTAACGGAGCAATAAGCAATGTATTGAATATGATACTCCGGAAGATGGAAAAAAACAAACATAATTCATAACCAACAATAAATTTGACAAGCTACAAATAATAATTTCACGAAAGGATGAGGATTTGGATATGTCAAAATCTGAAATGTTAGCAGAGGAGGTAAAAAACAGTTCTGGGTAGTATTTCTGGTTGTCTACCTGAAAGCTACCATCTCCAATGAAAGAAATCACACGCTTCTCTGGCACAGCCTGAGCATACCCAAGAGTTGCACCAACTGACCACCCAATTGATCCATATTGCATTTGGAACTCGTACCTACAAATCCAAATTCACATACACCATTAAATTTATGAACTCAAATTTAATTACTATAACATCACATATCAAATTCTCAACTGCTTACCCGCATCCCCTAGGCAATTTCAGCTTTTGGCAGTTAAACCATGAGTCTCCAGTCTCAGCAATCACAGCAGTTTCACCAGACAGCATCTTCTGTATATGTTGAAACAGAACATTAACCCTCAAAGGTTCTTTGGGAGCACCCCTCAAAGGTTGTCCCTCGGGAACAAAAATCCTGTGGTAATTATCATAAGCAGTAGTATTGCACTTGAGCCTCTTAGCAAGGGCACTTAAAAAATCCTTCATCAGAATACACCCAAATGCAGGTCCATTTGCAATCACCACACGTTCAGGCTGCACAATAATCGCCTTCTCCTTCTTGAGAAGGAGAGAATACCCAACAGAACTATAATCATTGAAAATTGGTCCAGCAAACAAGTAAGCATCTGCAGACTCCACAATCTCAGCACAGAAAGCAGTGCTCACTGCACCCCAGTAAGTCCCAATGAAATGTGGATGATGCTCTGGCACAAGCCCTTTAGCCGAAGGCATAATTGCAAGCGCATAACCTGAAGCATCAGCTAACTCCACAAATGCCTCGCCTGCATGTGCGGATCTTAGTTTAGGCCCACCCACCAAAACTGGTTTCACTGCCTTGTTCAAGAAATCGGCAGCCGCTTCCACTGCAGCCTCTAAACCCAATTTGTTACTCAATCTGTAAAACAAAAATCAATACAACACCTAAGTATCCAAACCCCACAATTGTTCCCGATTACTAAGAAGACTTAATTATAAACAAAGACCAATCAAGAATCCAAAGAAATTACTTGGGGGTGAGCGAGAAAGGAACCGGTTCACGGCTAAAAGTTGGATGAGGGATTGCTGACAGGTTACAGCTAACACTGATATAAACAGGCTTGCTTTCTTTCAGAGCAGTTGAAATAGCAGTGTCTATCAGCTCATGTGCATCCTCCAAGTTATTCACCACAGCCTACGAAAACAATCAAACCCCATATACAATTAATCAATAATCACCAAATCCCCACAAATACAATATGATAAGAAAAAAATAATATTATATATATATAAAAGCTGGAATTGTGGGGTCCACAGGTGAATCTATTCTGAAGATCACGATCCAACAACGTTTCTATATTCTGAAAGTTTTAACGTTATTTAAAATATCTTTACCTGAAAACAAGTAACAGTCTGGAAACATGCAAGCTCCTGGCTAAAGTCAGGCAAGCCAATGGTGTGGTGCAGAATCCTGTTAGTTCCATAATCATTGGAGTTGGGCCCACCAACAATGCATATGACAGGCAAATTCTCACTGTAAGCACCAGCAATAGCATTCAGCACACTGAGTCCCCCAACAGTGAACGTGACAACACAAGCGCCAACGCCACGCGATCGGGCGTATCCATCCGCAGCGTAGCCGGCGTTGAGCTCGTTACAGCAACCGACAAGGTTAAGCTCGGGCTCAGCGATCAAGTGGTCGAGAAGGGTGAGGTTGAAGTCACCGGGGACGGAGAAAACGTCATTGACACCGATTTGGACGAGTCGGCGAGCGAGGTGCCGACCCAGCGTCGCCTCGGATGAGTTGATTACGGTGGGTGAGACCGAGCTTTGGATAGCCGCTACGGCGCCGTTTGTCGGGTTGATCATGTCGTTGCTGGTTGGTCGGCAGGTGTCAAGAGATCCTATCTTGGTGTCCATGTTGAAAGAAAGAGTCCTTTTTTTGTGTATATATAAATATTTTGTTGGAAATAAAAGAGAAAATGGAAGAGAAATAAATAGCCAGGTGTAGAGAGAAGAAGATGAAATGAAAAAAAAAAATGAAAAATCAAAAGGAGAAAAATCCAAAGGATGGCTTTTGTTTTGGAGAGGGTTCTGAAGAGGTTAATTTAGTATGAAATTGAGGGTTTTGTTTTTTTGTTCGATCATGGGAGAGGAGATGGCCGCGGGGAGGATTTTATAGTGGAATATTAGGCGAGGGGAGGAGGGTTACTAGGGGCGGTTTTGGGGAGATATTTCAGGGGTGAATTGAAAGGTGGTTTGTGTTCGTGGATTATAGGAGGATCAAGAAAAATCATTAATTACTATTATTTTATGGGAAAAATAATTAACTACTCCTTTTTATGTTGAGAGATTATATTAAGTCCCATAAAAATACAAAAATTATCTCTTTTTTTTGTTTTTTTCCCCCTGTTTCTCTTCTCAGTTCGAGTACTCTGAAATTTCCAAGGAAAAAAAATACAAACATATCATTGTATTCATTAATGTTAATGTTGACACATGGCAAATAAAAGGACAATTTTTTTTTTTTTTTTTTAGATTAACGTGGATGTTCGGGCCAGCTTGCGCACATCACGACTAATCCCACGGGCCCTGGGATAGGAGTGATGGACGGTCCCGGTGGATTAATTGGTGTGTATAGTATTGTGTTTTAAAAATATTTTAAAAAAATTAAAAAAATTATTTTATATTAATAATTTTTTAATATTTTTAAATTATTTTAATTTTATTATACTTATTTAAAAAATTTAAAAATATATTATTAATAACATTTACGAGTAAAAAATATTTTAAAAAATAAGAAACCATTCTTTCAAATCCACTTAAAATTATATTAAAAAATAATTTTAAATTATAATATATTATATTAAAAATATTTTAAAAAATAATATTTTAAAAAATAATCAACTCGAATTAAATACAAATACATGAGTTGAGTGGTTATTAATGATTACTGCTTGACATTCAAGCGCTGTGCTTGCTCCAATTCACTCCACTCCTTTCCATTTTTTAAGCTTTTCTTTTATACAAGTCACGAGATTTTTGTTTCGTGTGAAAGGAAAATGCTACAATTTGTAATTAATGAAACTATTAAATTTATTTTTCTTTTCCTTTCAATGTGTGTAAATATTATAATTTTAAATAGGATAATGTTGTAAGAAATAACAATGAGTATCCATATATTAATTTAAAATAGAGTAAAAATTAAAATCAGTATCTTAATCACTATTTAATAGATAAAAGATTGAGATATTTATGTTTATATAAATCGTAAAATATAAATATTAAAAAGAAATTTGTATCTCAAGCCGGATTAGAGAATACTCATGTTATACTCTGTCTATTATGTATTAAACAAGGTAAACAGTAAATACCTGAGAATCTTACTTATTTATATCAATTCAAATCAATATTCATATGAATTGAAATGTCGTCCTTCGAAGTCAAGAACCACCAAAGATTTTAAGTAGTAAACAAAAAGGAAATTGGCATCCTATAATTAAATAATATTAACGGGTTTCTGTTTATATATTCGTGGGCTTGAAGAAAAAGCAAGTCAAAGGAGTCAACCTATCAAATACCGCAGCCAAGTTCTGGTTAAGTGGGTTTGGTGCGGCTTAGCTGTGCCCTGGTTTTGAGCCCTGTTTCGTTACTGGCTAGATTGCAACAGGACCTGGCGACCGGCCACTGACCACTGCTCTCAGCTCAAGAAACCAGAAAACGACGTCGTAATTATGGTTGAGACTAAAACCACGTACGAGCTCCTCCAAAACCACTTGTTTCCCAGAAAAACCAGTGGAGTTGCTGGTAATTAGTGGACAGCTGCTGAATTAAGAAAAAGTGGGCTAATTAGAGCATTCCACGTGGATTGCACAAACCTGTACATGTTACTGGAGCTTTCCACTTGGTTGATCGGTGGCTGAACAATGACCCAAGGATTGAGACGAGCGAATCAGCAGGACAGAGGTTTCCTAGGCTGGACACTTATTTTATTTTTTTATTGAAACACTTTCATCCTTGAAAAGTTATATTTTTTTTTTTATTGGAACACTTTCATCCTTGAAAAGTTATATTTTTATTGTTTAAAAAATGAAAAAAAAAATCAGGAATTTCCTTTTTATCAGATATATTTTGAAGTTGATTAGAATTATAGTAGATGTTATTTTTTAAAATATTTTTTATTTGAATATATAAAAAAACAAACTGTGATATCTTGAGGAGGTTGGCAAAACCGCAGAACAGTACGAGAATAAGCTTTGCGCTGCGTGGCATCGAATATCGCCGCAGATTGGATCACGTGAGCTCAGTGGACAAGGAGAAGGTTTACGTCAACAAAAGCAAGAGTCGCGGCGGACAACCGACTATTCCACCTCCATTGAGCCACGTGACAATCCAGAGACAGCATCACTGTAAAGTTGAAATGTTAAAATATTATAAGTTGCGTGATTAATGTTTTTAGCCAATTAACCACATGCGGTGTTCCATCTTTAAAAAATATATATTTAATTACTCAAATTAAATATATATTTAATATATTATTTCATTCTAAACATGAATTTAAAAAAAGTTAAAACTTAAAAAACACATATACTCTATTAAAATAAATGTGATAATAATAATAATAATAATAATATATGAGTTATTAAAATAAATGCGATAATAATAATAATAATAATAATAATATATGAGTTACTGTTTTCGTTTCTTTCTCTAGTTCTTTTCTCTACCTTGGAAGAAATTTAATTTAAAAAAAAACAGAATTGATTTTTTTATAAAAATAGAGTTTAAATCTTCACTAAGAAATTATTTAATGCTCCTGATCAATCTATATGTTTCATTGTTTTACAATTTTTTATAAGCACTTGAAAATATTGTCATAAAAAATAGTATTTATTCAATATATTAAATTAATACCATTGATTTTTATTTAAGTATTCGTGGTGGCGTCATGACCGTGATGTCAAGCTGCCACTGTTTTGGGTTTCTACCTTCCTAGCTCCAGTTGTCGGTAGAACTAGATGGCTATCAGAACGTTAGACTTCAAATGGTGAAAGGGAAAGCATATTCAAGGTAGATACTATTTTGAAGAGATAAAGTAAATTTTTAAATAGTATAAATATAGTTTTTTATTATATGTATTTAAATAGAAAAAATATATATTTGAAAAGCTAATTGTGTTGAAGTGTAAGAAATAAATACTTTTTTTTAATGAATTTGATATTATTTTTAATTTACATGATTGCATTTAAGATGTTTATTTTTTTTTGTTGACCCTACTTTAATGATTTTAATTCTCTTAAGAGATATATAAAAATATTATTTTTGAGATAAAAAATATACTTTGGTATCTTATTTAACACTCTTTTGAAGCTTATAAAATAAGTATGGAAGAGTCAAAATTATATATTTTTTTTTAATTTTTTGCTTCACAAAACACCTTTTGAAGTTGCTAGAAAGTTTTTAAAAAATTTAAATTTTTATTTAAAATATTTTATTTTTTATAGTATATACTAATGTTAAAAATATTTTTTAAATAAAAATATTATAATACTTTTTAAAAAATAAAAACAAACAATTACTATCCCACTTCGTGATAGTTACGGGAGAGGTCTATGCGTTCGTAAGGGGACCGCATCAGATTAGGCTTATGTCCATGCCACCTCATTATTTCTTCTAATAATGTGTAGCTTGTTCAAATCTCCTTAGGTTTATTTTGTAACAATATTTAATGTAGCGCTGAATAAAATCGGGTATAAAAAAGTGAAAGGCATAACGAATCTCAATGCATTGATTCGTATCAGACAAAACGTGCGCAGGTAAGCTCAAAGAAAGTAGCAGTGTAATGGATTAAATTTTAAATTTATATTTTAAATATTATTAATTTGAATGGGATAAATTTTAGAGTTATTAAAAAATTATATAATTATTAATTTTAAAAAATTAATAGAAATACATGTAAATTAATCTGATCATCCACAGTTTTTTTTTTTAAAAAAAACCTTGCTAGGGTGACAAATAAAAAAAATAAAAAATATTATCATGTCTGCTTAAAATGGTAAGTTATTGTTTTATTTGCCGGGATAAGTCACCTAGTGGTCAGTATTGTGGCTTGGTTGTTTTCGATTTTAATTAGAACACCGTACGGATATCATCAGTGCCTGATGGCGATCTTTTACTGGTTTGGGCTTCTTCTAAAAAGTCCTTGGTCTCTTCTAGCTCGCAGTACTAGTGTTTTGTTTGTTTATATGGCTGCTTTTCTATTTTAAATAACTACAGTAAAATAATTGTTTGATAAATATAAAAATATAATTAAATTTTGATTTTTATGTTAATTATATTATTAAGTAAATAGTGTAACATGCTATATTATTCTGATTGGACTAGTTCCGGTTCAAAATTTAATATATATTAAACTGAGTCCAACTCAGTAAAATAAAAAATATTTTTTTTAAATTTTGTTTTATTAAAAAAACTAGTGTTTAATATTATTTAATGACACTACATAAAATAGACAGAGATTACTTGATGACGTAGTATATACAAAATTTCATCGCAATTCTAATTTTATTTCTAATTATATTTTACCTGATGTTATTACGAGTTTAAAAAACCAAAAAAAATATAGTATTTATCGGATGTATTTCATACATGATAAAATTATAAATAGTTTAATAGAACAATGAAAATTTTTTTATATAAAGTATTGTTTATTTCATGATATAATAAAAATAGTTAAATCTACAATATTTAAATAAAAAATCATCAAAATTAATATATATTTTTCAAAATTATTTTATAACCTCAATTTTAAAAGTATCATTAACCAGATATATTAAACAACTTTTTATTCAACCTCAATTTTAACCACAGTTTTAACTAAAGATACATAAATACCAAATCAACCTTAACTAAAAATATTTTTTATAAAATATTTTTTTCAAATCATAACTACAATAGCCACTATAATACCAAACACACCTATAAGTTGCTAGAACGTTAATGACACGGGAGAGCAGTATATGTTTATAGTTCTAGTTGAATTAGTTTTTATTAAATTTTTATTTTTCAAAACATTAATTTTTTAATTTTTTGATATGATATTGTTAAAAATAAATTTTTAAAAATAATATATATATTATTTTAATATATTTTTAAGCTAAAAATAATTTGAAAAATAACTTCAACTATACTATCAAATAA